CGCGCTCCCCCTGCCCCGCGCAGCGCGGACGCCCAGCAGCCGGCCCCCAGGAAGCAGGCACCACCGCAGGCTTGGGGATCGCGTTTATTGAAAAAGTAAAAAGTGCCACAGTAAAAAAAGTCACCTGGAGGGAAAGCCAGGCCGGAGCGGAGGGCGGGGGGTCGTGCCCGAGGTCTGGGGCCTGGGCGGCGGGCGTGTCCTGGCACCCGGGCATGCGCGGACTTGTCGGGGAGGCGGGAGCCCCGGCAGGGCGGGCCGGCTCAGTCCATCCTGGCCCCTTTGAAGAGCTCCACCAGGTCCTTGAAGTCCGGGTCGATGAGGTCGGAGGGCAAGTGGCCGTCGTCGTTGGCGGCGTGACTGTCTGCCCCCAGGGAGATGAGGTACCTGGAGTGCAGAGGGCAGCCCTGGGTGAAGCCGGGGTGGTCTGGGGGATGCTCACCCGCCCACCCCAGGCTAGGGCTGGGGTCACCTGTCTGTCTTTTCCGGGAAGGGTGCGGAGGAAGAAACCGGACCCTCTGGAAGCTGTGACCTGCTTTCCCAGCTTGCTCTAAGAGCACGGGGCAGAAACCGCATTCCAGAACCCCTCAGGGTTCTCGCCTGCACCACCTGGGCCATCTTTTGGGAGCCGACGTACTGGGGGCCAGTTGAGGCCTGGAGGGGCTGGGATAAAGCCTCTGCAGCCCTGGTCCCCCCTCACCTGGCTATGTCGGGGTACCCGTCGCTGCAGGCGATATGCAGGGGTGTCCAGCCCGTCTCGTCACGCTGGTGAATGTCAGCCCCGTATTTGACCAACAGCTTCACGCATTCCAGGTTTCCAGAGAGCACAGCTTCATGCAGGGCGGCCAGGCCTGGGCAGGGCGGGACGGGAGGGGTTGAGGTTGAGGCAGATGCTTGGTCCTTTCTGCTGGCCTTCCCCTGCTGCCCGATAGACCCACGGCCAGTCCCTCTGATGCTTGCTCACCTGAGGGGTGGATGGTGTCCAGGGAGACTTTCCGAGCCCGGATGAAGCGTCCCACCTGCTCCAGGTCACCCTGGCGGATGTGGTCCAAGAACAGGACGTCATTAGGGAAACGTACACTGCGATCAGCCAACAGCCGCCGGCGCCGCTGCCGTGGGCTGTAGCGGGTGTAGCGGACAGTTCTGCTGGGCATCCTGCCGGCTGTGGGGTGGGCCGCGCCTCTGGGGACCCAACTGCACCAGCGCGAGGAATGTGTCCAGCCAGACTGATCGTCGTGAGGGCTCTTCTGTCTAAGGGACACCTGGCTTCCAACCTATATAGGGCTCTCAGAGCTATATAAAGCTGCGCAGTCATGCTCACCGGACGCGAGGGGCTGAAATGGAGCCGATCCCCCCTCCCGGTGCTCAGGATCATGTTCAGTGGCTCATCTTTCAGCCCACCTGTCGCTGTCCCTGGCCAAAGGGGTCAGATCCTTCTTGGCCCTGCAGCTGGACATAGAAGGTGCCTTACAAAGGCAGGGAAGAGCAGTTGAAGGACAAGACTCCAAGAGGAAGGCCAGAAACGTGGGCTCAAGGGTGAAGTAGGTGAAAGTCAGCAGGAGGGCCCAAGCACAGGTCACCGTGCATGCCCTGGAGGAGGCCCAGGCCCTGTCCCATCTCCCTGCCTCCCAGCAGGGCCTGCCCCACTCGGGGCTCTTTTCCCTCCTGCTCAGAAACCTCTCAGGCTCCCCAAGCTGGAATGCCAATGCCTCAGGCTCCTGCTCAGCCAATCCTGTGGGGCCCCTCCCCCACATGCCTTGTTCCCCTCCACGTACCCACACACTCCTGTTTCTTTTTTTTTTTTTTTTTCCTTTTTGTCTTTTTTCGTGTCTGGCAATGGATTGCAACCCTGTGTCGCTCCTGTACCGGACCGGGACCGGCAACGGGATCGCAACCCTCGGTGCTGCGTCCGCACCTTGCTCAGCCAGTGAGCGGGAACCGGTCTGTATGTGGGATCCGAACCCTTGGCGGGAGCGCCGCCGCACTCCCAAGCGGCGCACTGTAGCAGTGTGCCACCGGGCCGGCCCCACACACTCCTGTTTCTGCCCTCCACAGTTTCTCTGGGTTCTAGGTTCCTGACACTGTCAAGGACACAGGTGCTCACACTTAAGCTGGTGTCCAGTCTGCTCCCCAAAGATCGGACCATCAGCCCTGGATGGTGTGCTCCCCATGGACTTGCTGTAGGAGCACAACCAATGGAATTTTAAAAGGTGTTCCAGCAGGCTCATCTCTGCTCGCCACCTTTAGTTCTGTGACAGTTGCAGCTGTGGTTCAGGTGGGGCTTAGACTGTGGTGCCTGAGAAGAGCCAGCAGATGGGACACAGGCAAAGAGTAAAGCTGGGCGGAGGAGCCCCAGGAGCACATCTGTGGGGCCAGGGACGGCAAGCAGTTAGTTGCACTGGGTTCCCCGGCAGCACAGAAAGCTGCTGAAAGAACTTGCTCCGGCTGCCATGACCAAGTGCCACAGATTGGCAGGTTTGAACAACAGAAGTTTATTCTCACAGTTCTGGAGGCTGTAAGTCTAAGAACAAGGTGTGGACAGGGTTGGTTCTTCTGAGGGACCACCTGTTCCAGGCCTCTCCCCTGAGCTCTGGAGGTCGCTGGCACTCCTTGGTGTCTCTTGGCTCTTAGAGGCATCCCCCAATCTCTACCTTCATCTTTTTTTTTTTTTTTGACTGGTAAGGTGATCGCAACCCTTGGCTTGGTGTCGTCCACACCACGCTCAGCCAGTGAGCGCACTGGCCATCCCTATATAGGATCCGAACCCGTGGCGTCGGTGCTATCAGCACCACACTCTCCCGAGTGAGCCACGGGGCTGGCCCACTACCTTCATCTTCATGGCGTTCTCCCTGTATGTGTCTCTGTGACCAAATCTCCCCTTTTTCAAGGACACCAGTCATGTTGGAGTAGGGCCTACCCGCTCCAGTATGACCTCATCTTATTTCACCTGCAATGATCCTATTTCCAAATAAGGTCATGTTCTGAGATCCTGGGTGTTAGGACTTCAACATGAATTTGGGGGACACAGTTCAACCCATAATGCTGGCAAGATCCTCCAGGTGGTCGCTGAAAGCCTGAGGACAGAACCAGGACCAGCGAGGGAGCCAGGGGAGTCAGCATCAAGCCTTGTGTCGTCGGGCTGGTCTCCATACAGTGAACTCAAATTCGCTAATGTATTAGACTCCCTTTAGGTGCAAAGCCTTGGGTCAAATGCCACAGGAGAAATGGTATTTACTAAGGCCTCCCTGCCTGGTGGGGTTTTCTCAATCTGCCTCAGTGCCCAGGCTCACCCCAGCCCTGGTACCACTGGTCCCACAAGCCTCATGCCAGGTGCAGTCACCCTGTAGTGCCCCAGGGACCACCCCCCTGAACACCCAGCCAGACCCAGCCCTGCAGGGACCCTACCAGAGGTGGTTCCCAGGGTCCCTTCATTTCCTGGGACTCAGAGGGAGGTGCTGGTCAATTGTAATTCCTAGTCACTTGGGAGGAGCCAGGTAAAGTTTCTTCTGGCTTGTTTACACGAAGGCCAGAGACGGAAGGTTCTACGCTGTGGATAGGAGACGGCGTTCTCCAAAGATGTGAAGATTGCCTTTTCTCAGGTTGTGGAAAATTCTTCCTGCCCACCCTGCTCAGGGGATCAGATGAAGGCGTGCTGGGTGCAGCCGCCAACACCTGTGGTGTGGCCAGAAGGACCAGCAGGACTGAACTGCTGGGCATGCCAGGCCTCAGGGTTGGGGAAAGCCCATCAGACAGGCCTGTTTGGTGACCCCAGTGGGACGCCCTAGTCCATCCTCCTAAAGGTGAGCTGAGAGAGCTCGAAATGTTTTGGCTTTGGGTTTTCTATTTGGATCAATGAAGGGACTGGTCCCAGAAGCTTTCCAGAAAGCCCATCAGACAGGCCTGTTTGGTGACCCCAGTGGGACGCCCTAGTCCATCCTCCTAAAGGTGAGCTGAGAGAGCTCAAAATGTTTTGGCTTTGGGTTTTCTATTTGGATCAATGAAGGGACTGGTCCCAGAAGCTTTCCCAGTTCCAACAGATCCTCTAAAAGGTATTTATGTGCCTTTGATTCCAGCAAGGACATGGGAGCCAGTGTTTTAAGTTTCTCCCCTTTGAAACTTTTCATCAGAAGCCGCCTATGAACAGTCTGGCCTGCTGCAGTCAGTGCGGTGCACCGTTATGCTACTTCACCCAGCTCCGGGTCAGAACCTATGTTTATGTAGCTTTGTTCCTGATTCTTGGTCAGCATGGACTTGTAAAGTGACCTGGCATGCACGGTTTTAAGTTTCTACTTTCTGGAGGACAAGCTGAAAATAGTTAATGCAAAAAGTTTACCATCCAAATTTTAAGAGGTCTCAGAAATGCAGCCAGCAGTGCTCTGCACAAAACACAAAGCCAGAGGGCCTGTTAAGAAAGTCGCAGCAGGCACAGGTCCAGCTGCAAGTCGGGAGGCCAGAGGATCCCCAGGGTATAGTGCACAGGCCTGGAAGCTGCTTTTACAGGTTCTAGGCCCGTGGCTGCTTGCCAGTCGGAAAGAGAGAGAGAGACATCAGGAAGTTCCAGGCTGCTAAGCCTTAACTGCATCCCCCCAGAGCCTGTAAAGAGCCTCGCTAATCCACCAGTCCAGCCAGTGAGGTTTTGGACACCACCCCACAGCCTCCCAGCAAAACCCGGGCCTACGAATGCGCTGGTCAGCTGCCTCTGCACAAGGGGGCAGGTATCAGTGACTCACTCCCCGTCCCAGCAGCGTGTGACGGCCATGGTCCGGGCCAGATCCCTGCACAGCTGGTCAGCAGGGTCACCGTAGCCTTTCCCTCAGGTAGGGACCGCAGGCGCTGGCACAGCCTACCCTCTTAGCTGCAGCTAGAGACGGCCCTGCTGGATTTCTCCCTGGATACCCACGTGTCCTCCCCTGCGGGAGCCACAACTCTTAGTCCTCAGCTCCCATCTGTGGGGCGCAAAGCTAATACTCTCCCACAGAACTTCCAAGTGCTCGTGCCTGCTTTTCTGTAGATGCAGGTCTCGTGTGTCTGGGATCCGGGCATGACACACAAAACCCTGCTGTGGCTCCTGGTGCTGAACTAGCAGAAACCAGCCCCAACACGGCCACCTGAAAACGACAAAGGAAGCACCAGCTGTGGGCAGATGTCAGCACCGGACTGCTGAGCTGGAACCAGCAGCATGAGGATGATGGGGCGTGTGGGCACAGGTGGGGGTGGGCGTGGTGCGCTGGGGTGCTGCTGAAGACACTGACACCAGGTTCTCATCACATACCACCCGTGTAACCCACAGCCCTGATTGGGGGTAGGGGCAGCCCTCGGGTTTGTGAAGGCCTGTATGGCTGGGCAAGGCCTGTATGGCCATGAGGGAGGTGACCACGGCCCCCTCCCATGGGCTGAGGCCCAACCCGTGAGCATCCCAGCTGGGCGGGGACCCAGGAATCTTGGGACTCCTCACAGAATCCTCACCAAGGCCATCTGCCCTGAACTTCTAGGACGGGCAGGGGAGAGAACAGGCTCTGTGTGCATCCACATGCAGGGTCGTGATGTGGCACGCGTGCAGGACCAGTGTAGTGACAACCAGAAACCGAAGAGTTAACACCAGCTGTTCCAGTCAGTCTGGGCAAGGGTTAGGGAGGGTCACAGGCAGGGCCCCTCCCTCACCTGGTAACCTGCAGTCCATGCCGTCCCAGGGCCACGTGCAGTTAGGAGCCATACCTATGACGGGGGCGTCTCCTTCTCTACCACAGGGGCCCCCCCAAAGCCCCTCTGTCATGTCAGCATCAGAATCCCAGCCCAACCTCCCACGGCTTAGGGAGAACATGAAGTGCAGGCCAGGAAGGGTAGTGGAATCTCAACTTTATTTGGCCAATGAGTTCAATTCCATATTTGTGGTGGAAATGCCTGAAGGACTGCCAGTGGCTGATTCAGCTCCAGCATCCTTGGCTGTGCCCCAGCCTGGGGTCGGGGTCCTGGCTCCACCTCGTGTGGGCCTCAGGACACACTGGAGAGTCCAGCAGTCATGGAAGCAATGTGCCCACAACAGGACGAGCAGCCTGGCTGGAGGGGGTGCTGCCCAGGCCTGTCCTGGGCCCTGGAGCTGGCAACCAGCAATCCCCTCTGCCAAGCCTGGGGGCCCACCCTCCAACGTGATTCAGAGGTCTCTGTTTAACCAAAGGCGCAGGCAGGACCCTGCTCAGTCACAGCAGCTGGCATGAGGTGGAGAGTGGCGTGTCCAGCTTAGCTCCGCTTCCTGCCAGCGAGGGGACAGGAGTCTCCAGGGAGGCCCAGCTGAGGTGGAGCAAATACCCTGACGTCGAAACATGTCTGAACTCCCACAGATGGAGTTTCTTAAGTGACGGTGTAAACGCCTCTAACAGGGAGGAGACATCACCAGCGTGGGGTTCCAAAACGTCTTACAAGCATTCTGGACAAAACCACGTACAAAAAGTACATCACAATTTTAAAAAAAGGAAAAAAATAGCCCACCAAGACGGGCTGGCCTAGAGGCAAATCCCTTTCCAAAAATCGAAAAGCAAGAGAGACAGATTTAGGTTTGTGTGTGTTAGGATGAAGTGTTACTTCTGGAAGGTTCCCTGGATTTCGGTTGCCGCTCCCTCCCTCCCTCAGGCGAGGGTCCTGCAGGCTTGCGGCCTGGCCGCTGGGTGTGGCTGCTGGGTGTGCAGCCCCTGCGGGGCATGGGGTGGGGGTGCCCAGGTCTGGTCTGCACGTTACAGCTCGTCTTTCGCAGCTTTCTGATCGTCATCCTCCTCCATGTCCGGCTCTTCCGCTTCCTCCAGATCTAGGTCCTGGAATGCAGAAGGCGAGGGTGAGAGCACGGCTGGCTGCAGCACGGGAGAGACCGCAGCAGCCAGTGGGCCCCCTGGCACCCCCATTCCTCACGCCCCAGGGACCAGCAGGTCATGTCAGACACAGCCACCAGTCACAGGAGCAGCCAAGATGCATGGGGGTCTTCCCAAGAAGAGTGAGGCGTGGGGGGGTTTCTGCCCGTAAGGCAGGATGAAGCAGAGCCTCCACAGTGACAGGAGCCCCGGGAACCCCAGCCCAGCCCTCAGACCCTTCCTGAGGGGCGTGGCGGGGGCAGGTGTGCCTCCCAGTTTGGCACCAAAAGAGCCTGAGGAAGGTCCCCATCCTGGCAGTGATAACAGCCAGGGTGAGACACCAGAGCACAGTAACCACTGGGGTGCAACGTTCACGCCCTCCCAGCGACAGGCCATAAGGCAGTAGGAGTGACTTGGCCTCTTTCCTCGATCCCCACCCTGCCTGCTGCCTCCGGGCAGGTCCACTCTGCTCCCCCTTCCCCAGCACTTCTGGGAGGGCCCAGACCACTTCCACCACTCTCTGCCCTAGATGTCAGCTACAGCCACAACCCCCACCCAGGCAATGTCCTCCTGACCTCCCTCTACCTGCCCGCAGCCTAACAGTCGCCCTCCCAGCGACAGGCCATAAGGCAGTAGGAGTGACTTGGCCTCTTTCCTCGATCCCCACCCTGCCTGCTGCCTCTGGGCAGGTCTACTCTGCTCCCCCTTCCCCAGCACTTCTGGGAGGGCCCAGACCACTTCCACCACTCTCTGCCCTAGATGTCAGCTACAGTCACAACCCCCACCCAGGCAATGTCCTCCTGACCTCCCTCTACCTGCCCGCAGCCTAACAGTCACCACTGTCACTGGCCAGGAGCTGACCCACACAGGACTGAGCTCCCAAGGGCAAGCTGTGTCTGCACTTTGGGCCAGGGCCCACCAGGCGCCTCGACAGAGACGAGCAAGTGCTCTCATCAGCAGAGCAACGCAAGCCTCAGTCAGCTGGGGACAGACAGTCAAGTCCACATTAGCAGAGACATGAGGGCCCTGTGGGATGCATCTGAAGAGATCTCCGAAGCAAAATCTGGCTTTCCAAGACGCCTTCATAACCTCTCCCTGACAGGGATGCTGACCTCAGCAGAGCATCGGTCTGAGCCCCAGGGCCCTGGGCACATACGTGCCTCCAGCGGTGCCACACGTGGACCACAGGGCTACATCCCCAGAGGCCTGCTGCCACTTACATCGTCATCCCCTGCCCCGTCCTGGCCACCGCTCTCCAAGAACTTCTTAAAACCGTCCAGTGTCCGCTCCCCATTGTAATCGATGACCTGTGGGGGACAAAGGACGAGGGGTGAGGGGTCTGGAGCTGGTCCCAGGCCCCAGATGGACCCCATGGGCAGTGGCAGAGCCCCTGGTCTCCTCCACACGCACCTTCCTGCCTGAGTCCCCTCTAGCCCCAGGCCCCTTTGACAGCAGAGGACCCCAAGCTGGCGTGTGGACACTGCTTGCCCAGGAGCCCGGCCCCGCCCAGCAGGCGCACCGTTCTGTCCGTGCTGGCAGGGAAGAACTTCAGCGTCGGGAAGCTGTGCACTTTGACTGCCTCCACTTCGTTGGCTGTTGAGTCCATCTTGGCGATGACGATATCCTCATGATCCTTGTACGTCTCCCCCAGTTTATCCCAAATGGGAGCCAGCTGCTTGCAGTGACCGCACCACGGGGCATCTGAAAGCAAAGCAGCACTGAGGGTCCACCCTGGACCACAGAGGCACCTGCACAGACAGCGTCCCGCCGCACTGCACACGCCCCATTCAGGAAGCTAAAGAGGGTTCACTTACAGAATTCCACAAAGACATTCTTTGTCTCATCAAAAGCCACCTCTTCGAAGTTCTTTCCGACAAGCACTTTGACAGGCTGCTTGTCCCAGTCCTCAGGCAGCTCCTGGCTCATCAGGTGGGGCTGGAGAGCAGGAAGATCCCGGTCAAGAACAGCACTGCCTGGGGCCCTGCAGAAGTCCCCCCAAATTCCCACCCTGGCTGGAGTTGAGGCCATGGCTGCCCCTCAACGGCCCAGGATGGCTTATGAAGCCTCAGGACAGGGGCCACCTGGGCGACGGTGCCAAGAACTCAGGAAGACAGCTGAGCCCGCAACTTAGACCCAAGTAGAAAAAGCAGTTGCACCCTCCAGCCTTGATGCTGCCTCGGCCTGTGCTGGTGGCCACATCAGCGAAGCGCTTCTCCACGGTCCCCAGGGTTTGGAATCTTATGCTAATGTTCTCACACACTTTGAGGATGAAGCCACAGGAAGCCGGGGACTCTGAGGGCCAGAGGCGGCTGTTCCGCTCCTTGAGGCTGGCTGTAGGTGAGCCCCCGCCCAGGCCCACCCGCACCTTGATCTTGCCCTCCAGGAAGTGGTGGCAGAACTCCGTGATCTTCTCCGCCGTCAGCTCATCGGACTCAGGCTTGTACTTGGTCATCTCCTCCTCCAGGGTGATGAGGCGCACGGCTGGACATTCCTCCTTCTTCAGGCCGAAGAACTCGAGGATGCGCTGGTTGTCGCTGTGGTCGCTATCGATGAAGATGAATAGGATCTTGGGGAGAAAAGGCACACTGAGAACTGAGACGGGCTCGTCAAGGCTGCGTGTCTGCTTTCTACCTCCTTATTTCACTCTTAAAACCATCTCTCCTTCCACTCAGAGCCTGGCATTGCCCAACCAGACCTGCAGGCCCAGCTCTCCAGCCTCCAGACCCCGAGGAACAGGTTCTCCTGAAAGCAGGTGCCTGTCCAGGAGGTGGCCTCAGGAAGTTCACACCTAGACCACCTCGGGAAGAGCTGCCCCACGAGCATCGGGAGCGAGCACGGCTCACCTTGCCCTTGAAGCTCTCGGCGGCTTTTTTGAAGTTGCTCAGTTTCCCGTCATAGTCAGACACGCTCTTGGGCAGGAACAGCAGGATGTGAGTCTTGATTTCACCTCCAAAAATCTTTGGGGCTGTCTGTGTTATAAACACAAGTTACTGAATCTGAGCCACCAGACGCCTAGATGACAGTGGTGACGGGGAGCCTCTCACCCACCCTGGGGACCCCCCACACCATCTCTGGTGCTCTCGGGGCAACAGGACGGCAGGAGCACCCACCTGCTCAGTGAACTCGATGACCAGGGGCAGCTGGTTGTGCTTGATGAAGTCCAGCAGGTTCTCTTGGGTGACCTCCCCCTCAAAGTTGTTCCGGCCTTCATCAAACTGTGGACAAAAAGGAGGCTGTGAATTTGCTGCGAAACCAGCCCCATGGCCCAGGCAGCCCCGGGCTCAGCCAAGCACAGCAGCCCGCAGAGCTGCCCTCCTGTCTGGGGTTTCAAGCCACAGGTTCCTGCAATGGGGACAGGACACCTGCTCCCTGACAGCCTGGACAGCGTCAGCCATCGCCCTGTAGCCACCGGCGTGGGGACGGCCTCGTGTCCACAGCTCAAGCCTGATGCTCACAGTCCTCCAGCTGCCCCAACTGAAGGACAAGTGTGGCTGGGACAGCCAGAGGTGCCACTGGACCCTGTACCCTGTACCCACGGACCGGCTGCCTCTCCACAAAGCCAGGCCAGGCAAGGGCTGTGGGAGTGGCAGGGGCAGGCGCCCGCATTCTCCTGGGTATGGGAACAGTGACATCACCATGGAGAGCAGGCTGGCTTCCCAGAAGCACAGGGCAACTTCCCAAGCACCAGCGTGGCACCAGCTCACCTCACACTCTGTCCCACGGGACCCGTGGGGCCAGCGTGACAAAGTGGGTGCCTGCCGGCTGCAGAATGGAGCTGTCACAATAAGCAACACCCTCTCCGCCCACAGGCCCAAGAGCCTCCAACACCTGCAGGCCGGGGAAGACTCAGGTTCTACATAAACTACCTCTCTCATCTCCACGTTCCTACAACAGCAGCTCTCAAAGTTACGGTCCACACCCCAGGAGCCCGGGCCCCAGACCCTCCTGCATCCGCAGGCAGAGCGCCTTCACAGTCACACCCGACGGCCTCAAGTGTGCGGTGGCGTGTTACAGAGGCTGCAGGACGCGTGGCATCACCACAACGGAGGCAGAAGAGAAGTACCCGTGAAGCCAGACACCGAAAGAGCAACAGAGCGGCAGAAACCTAAACACCACTGACTGTGTTACGTTGTTTTGTCTCGAAAGCTAACTTTGGTGAAAACATCACTTATGGTAACATTTACCTGGCTTCTACTCCGATTTTTAAGTGAACTAGAACTCCATATACTCCTCAGTTCTCGCTTCTAATGCAATGGGAACCGAAAGGAATAATGTACTGACTCACGAGCTCTGGGTCCTCGATGGCGTGCAGCAGTTTAAGGAGTCCCGAGGCCACAGAGCTGGAGTACTGCTGCTGCTGCAGACCAGCCTCGAGGCAGCCACACAGGACAGCCCTGGACTGGGGCTGCCGGCCTCAGCTCAGGAGGGGGACAGGCAGAAACAGCTCCTAAGGCTGAGTGTCTGTCCCCACGCTTGAAACTGTGCAGGTGAGCCTCCACTACTCCCCTTGACCTTCTTTCGTGAAACGTAGAGAAAGAAATCACTCATCTTCTCCTATGAGCCAGCTCCCTGTATGCTTCTCCAGAGTCATCGCAGAAGAGCAGGTGGCCACTCCCTGACCCCCACATGCCAGCCTGACCCTGACCCAAAGGCTTCCCAGCCTGCTCTGTCTTCCCAATACCGCAAACACGGGGAGGGTAAAAAGAGGCAGAAAAACCAAGGCCAGGAGGCGCTCTGAGAGCACCACATGGAAGCGAGCCACTGGTGGAGGCCAGGCCCCACGAGGCACGCAGCAGGGCTGGGCCCACCTTCCCCAGGGATATTGCTGAGCCACGTCCGGAGGTGCTACCATACCTGTCTTGGGGTGGCAATCTTTTTAGTAATGCTGCCACGTTACACTCGTTCAGTCTATTTTGGTAAAAAGTAGACAGCTCCCATTTATTGAGAGGACAGATGCAGGAGGCCTGAGGCCTTGGGCAGAGACCGCTGAGCCAGCCCCGCCAGGCCATGGTGATGAATGTCACGAAAAAGTTTGACTTTGCTGTTGAGCTGCTGGAGAAGCTCCACCCTTCACTCACTCCGAACTCCCCAAAAAGAAAAACTGAAGTAAACATCAGAACGAATGAAGACACAGGACGACCAGCTCTCAAATCAATGACCTGCTCACCAGTGACCAGAGGCCCCGGCCAGGCCTCGCTGGGCTCCAGGCTCTGCTGCTTCCACTGGCCCCGCCATCCCTCCCAGGGAAGAACAGCGAAGGCCACAGCCGGCTCGGCCGCCACTGTCCCCTGGGCAGACAGGAAGGCCCAGCTCACTCTGAGGACAAGGGGTCTAACAGCCTGGAAGAAGAGGGACAGGTACAGCCTAGAAGGTGAACTTGACAGAGGTAGCGGCCGGGACACAGCAGCAGCAGAAACCCGAGGGTCTGGGCCCTGGAGTCGTCTCCCTTCGTCCATGGCTCTGCCGGGCTTCTGCCCAAGGCTGCCTGAAGCACCCACATTCCACCATCATGGATACATGAGCCACCCCAAGTGGGAGAGAAAGTGCCACCCCATCACCAGACCCAAGGGGTGCCACCTGTGCCCAGCCTCGAGTGGACACCAGAGAATTGAGAGAGAAAACAATCACACATAGGGATTCCAAACAGGCTACCTCCCCCATACTCGCTTCTCTGTAGGCAAGACAAGAAACAGTCCTTGCAGCCTTCCTAGACACATGGTCCCCAGTGTTAAGACTGCCACTCCAGACCTCCAGGACCACAGGAGAGAATGGTGGGCACCGAATGACCAAAAGGCCTTCTCAAGCTTCAGAGCAGCTCTCCCTGAGAACCTGAATCCTAGGACGAGACTCGGGACCTACTCTGTAGCACCCCAAAGAGCTTGTGCTCCACACAGCTCCCGAGGCTCTTCACCACACTCCTCCAAGCGGGTGTCACGTTAAAAGTGCCTGGGCACCTCTGCGATGGCAGCTGACCGCCTCAGCAATTCCTTCCCTTTAGGGAACACTGTGCTATCTCTACCAAGTAAGGTGTCTTGAGTTACTCTCAGGCAGGGGCTACAGAAACAGCTAAACGACAGGAACAAGGACACCAAGGAGGGCTTCTGCCACCGGGCCCCTCCGCGGCTCCACGTGCCCTCCTCCCGGCCGGCGCCGGATGCTCAGCGCTCACTCCAGGAAACAAATCCGCTCCTCCTCGTCAAAACCACTTCGCCCCAGCCTGTCAGGCGATTCACACGTGAGGTGCAACACAAAACGACCTCAGACTAGAGGCCGCCCCCACTTCCAAACCAAGCAGCAGCTCACCCCAAATCCTGCGTGCTCGTGGCCACGCAGCTCAGGACTCTGCTCTGACTCTGCCTCACACCTCCTCCTCCTTCCCACTGGAAACAAGGATGACGGGACTCAGAGGTCCTCTCCCCACCCCCTGAAGACCTCCCTCTTGTCCCTCTCAGTCACTGGGTCCTTCCTCCCAGAGAACGTTCTCTCCTTTCCTGCTCTACACCTTGCTACCTGAATGGCATTAACCCACGCTCATCCACATCCAGGTATACTATGTGCCAACAGCATGCGTGACCGGCCCCAACCCCACCTGTCTGGTGACTAAGGCAAATGACAACCTCCAGGCCCCACCAGTCATGCTGGGCAAACACAGAGCCTGGTAACAGACATGCGGTTGGGCACCGTGCTTCGCAGCAGCCCCTTGTGACGGGAAGAACAACAGGATCAGGATCCTCAGGGGTCGGAGAAGCCCCCGGGGGTGGGGAGCACAGGAGGTGGAGCTTTGCCTGCAGGGTGGGAACATGTGCCTAGAGAGTTAATACTCCAGAGCTGCCATCTGGGGTGAGGAAAAAGTTCTGGAAACAGGAGTGATGACTGCAGGACACTGAGAATGTAATCAATGCCACTGAATTGTACACTCAGTGACAGTTAAGCCGGCCGGTTAGCACAGCTGGTGAGCTTAGTGCTAACACCAGCGTCAGGAAGGTGATCCCTGTGCAGGCCAGCAAAAAATTAAAAAAGGTTAAAATGACAATTTGCTGTATGTGTTTTACCATAACTGGGAAAAAAAACCCTGACGGTCAAAAGCAGCTCCACTTGTTTCTTTGGTAGAACACAGCACACCAGCTGTCCCAGGAGGCTGGCAGAAGGGCCACAGCTAGGAGGTTTAAAGGCCACTGTTTTCAGTGGCTTCTACAGTCCAACACCACAGAAATGCAAAATGGACCCTTGGTAACAAACTGTCTCCCAGTCCGAGGTGTCAAGGCAAGGTTCTCCTGCCAACGAGGAACACGACACCGCCCCCTGCAGACCAACCCCCAAACGTCCCTGGGCAGGGCCACCAGATGGCGACTCACCTTCTTAAAGAGGACAACTCCATCTCTGTCAAGCTGATATCTGGAGAACACATCGCTGTTGGAAGTGATCCCAAACGGTATGTCATCCACAGCTTCTGCCGCCAGCAAGAACTGCTTGGCAAAGTCCGATTCCACATCCTTGAAGAGGAGGGAACACCAGAGGTGGCCACACACCCAACAATGAGGATCCCTGCCTGGGACAGTGGCTGGGCAGACACCGCAGTGCCCAAGTCTAGAGGACACATGCAGAACCGCAGGCCACCGGCCAGGGGACCCTTCCTCAAACAGTGACAGAACACAGGAAGATCAAAATGAAGTTCTGAAGCCTCTACCTTGAAGAAGCCGATGACCGCCACCTCACTGGACTCCACCAAGGACTCTGCAGCTGCAACGTCTGACAGGGTGGTGGCAGCTGGGCCCGTGCGCTTCTTCAGCCAGTTCACTATGTCGTCGGCTTCTCTGCCGGCTACACCCAAACAGACACAGGTTCCAGTCTGAAGCGCGAGCGCCGCCCGCTGCACCTGGCCCGTCCTCGCCCAAGTCCTCTGCCACACCGGCTGAGAACGTCTGCATGAACACCGAGAGCAAGATGTCCTCTCGCCACAGAGCAGTCAAGAGCCCTGTTCACCCACCCCCCGAATTCCAGTGCACGCGAGAGCCTGTGGCTGTGACTAGAAGAGGAAAAGAAGAGCGAGGCTATCTCTGGGTAACAGAATCACAGACCATTTTTCCTCTCTAACCCCTCTGCATCTCCTAAGTTTTCTTCGGCCCTTAAATTCATCAAACATACACCTGGTGGTCTCACACCAGGCTGCATCTTAGAGATGTGGTAGGTCAGCCTCGGTGCCAGTTTTCCCACCTGTGAAATCCGCACTACTTGACATGCCCTGACAGGCCTCCAAACCTACCCCCGGTGGGTCGGGGGTTCTCGTCCCTGGCCTGACCACATACCTCCCAGACCAGGAGGAAATTAAACGAGGATCACACACCTCCATGACAACAGCAGCAAACAAAATGAAAAGAAAGAAACCTACTCCTCTTAAGACACTGAGGCTGAAGAATAATTACTGTTCTTACCCTCATCGGGTTTGACTACCTAGTCCAACTTGGGAAGAGCCAAATCTGGTAACAAAAAGCTGAGTCACCGGTTACAAGCAGATGTGTAATAGGTGTCTTGCCTATAAAACCTAAGGACTAGTGACAGCACATGGTAGCTCTGCACATGGCATTACCCTTTCTGAAAGTGAGAACACACACAAAATGGGAAGAGTGATACAGCCCACCAGGACAACCACAGGGCTGCTGACACTAAAGTAACAGGACAAGGTGCTCGAGGGGACACCTTTGCTAACACTGCGGGAACTGCCATCAGACCACCCACCGCAGGGTCTGGCAGATGTGCCACAGAACTGGTTTTACAGATGAAGGATGGTTCTTTTGCCATCGTAACTGACCTAGCTACCAACGGGCCCCAGCCTCCATAAAAGCTGCTTCAGAGGCAGCAAGACAGCGGCAGAGAACTTGTGCAGCGGACAAGGCTGGGCCTGGACTCAAAGACTGCCACCGACAGCTGTGACCCGGTTACAGTCTAAGTCTCAGCACTCCTCAACGAGGGGACCTGACAAGAAACCACACAAGCACTTGGCTTGGTGGCCGGCACTCTACAATCCCCGGATAATTAGCAACTGTCACCGTACCTTATGGCAGCCCTGCTGTCCCTAGAAACACTGACAGCTCAATAAGCCCCATGTGGTCAGAATGGCACCAGCCTCCCTCTCCTGGCTGGTCAGTCTCCAGACGAGCCTCAGCCAGCCAGCCGCCACCCAGGATGTCACCAGAGACAGGTATAACACACTCTCCACTAGCAGGACGGGGAAGAACTTTCCTCACCGGTCCCTCAGGGGCAGATAGATCCAGACTAAGAGCCCAGTCTGAGAACAGGTTCCCTCCCAGCCTCTGGGCGTGCAGGCAAATGCCTCTCTAAAGACCATTAAGGAGCTGGACGCAGTCGCACCTGCATACTCCTTTGGGGAAGTAGTATCTCCATTCTTGAAGAACTTGATGGTGGGGTAGCCGCGGACGCCGTACTGCTGAGCTAGGTCAGACTCCTCGGTGGCGTCCACCTTTGCCAATCTGATCTCGGAGCCTTCTGCCTTCAGCTTCGCAGCTGCTTTGGCGTACTCGGGGGCCAGAGCTTTGCAATGGCCACACCAAGGGGCGTCTGAGAAAGGAAACAGCACAGTAGAGAGTAGCACTCGAGCCGTCCCACCGCTGCCCCTGCTCTCCCCTTCCGAAAGACGTTATCTCCTCCCAAGGACGGGCCCCTCTTCGGGCACGAGGCACGGCTAATAGCTTGGTGCTCTCGGGCAGTCTCAGGACAGAGGCCACGAACGACAAGCCAACGCCACCCCCTGCTATGTCACCGCCCGCAGAGAAAGGCGGACGCCTTAACGACTCGTAACTCCCTGCTCCCCGCAGGCCGCCGGGCAAGCGTGTCCCTAGAGCAGCCCGCGAACACCCAGACGCGGCCCTGCAGCTGGAGAGGGCGGGCCGGCGCCAGGCCCGGCCCGGACCCCCGCCGCGGCCCGCCCCGGCCCGGCCCAGCCCGGCGCTCACAGAACTCCACCAGCAGGGACTTGTG